TTCCACCACTCTCATCTTCTCTACTCCTCCTCCCCTCTTCTTCATTCTCTTGTTATTCCACCACTCTCATCTTCTCTACTCCTCCTCCCCCTCTTCTTATTCTCTTGTTATTCCACCACTCTCATCTTCTCTCTTCCTCCTCTTCCTCTTCTTATTCTCTTGTTATTCCACCACTCTCATCTTCTCTACTCCTCCTCCCCTCTTCTTATTCTCTTGTTATTCCACCACTCATCTTCTCTCCTCCTCCTCCCCTCTTCTTCATTCTCTTGTTATTCCACCACTCTCATCTTCTCTACTCCTCCTCCCCTCTTCTTATTCTCTTGTTATCTTCCACCACTCTCATCTTCTCTGCTCCTCATCTCCTCCTCTTCTTATTCTCTTGTTATTCCACCACTCTCATCTTCTCTGCTCCTCCTCCTTCCTCTTCTTCTTATTCTCTTGTTATTCCACCACTCTCATCTTCTCTACTCCTCCTCCCCTCTTCTTATTCTCTTGTTATTCCACCACTCTCATCTTCTCTACTCCTCCTCCCCTCTTCTTATTCTCTTGTTATTCCACCACTCTCATCTTCTCTACTCCTCCTCTCCCTCTTCTTATTCTCTTGTTATTCCACCACTCTCATCTTCTCTACTCCCCCTCTTCTTATTCTCTTGTTATTCCACCACTCTCATCTTCTCTACTCCTGCTCTCCCTCTTCTTATTCTCTTGTTATTCCACCACTCTCATCTTCTCTACTCCTCCTCTCCCTCTTCTCATTCTCTTGTTATTCCACCACTCTCATCTTCTCTCCTCCTCCTCCCCCTCTTCTCATTCTCTTGTTATTCCACCACTCTCATCTTCTCTACTCCTCCTCCCCTCTTCTCATTCTCTTGTTATTCCACCACTATCATCTTCTCTACTCCTCCTCCTCTTCTCATTCTCTTGTTATTCCACCACTCTCATCTTCTCTACTCCTCCTCCCTCTTCTTATTCTCTTGTTAATCCACCACTCTCATCTTCTCTACTCCTCCTCTCCCTCTTCTATTCTCTTGTTATTTCTCTCATCTTCTCTACTCCTTCCTCTTCTTATTCTCTTGTTATTCCACCACTCTCATCTTCTCTCCTCCTCTTCCTCCTCCACCCCTCTTCTTATTCTCTTGTTATTCCACCACTCTCATCTTCTCTACTCCTCCTCTTCCTCTTCTTATTCTCTTGTTATTCCACCACTCTCATCTCTCCTCCTCCTCTTCCTCTTCTTATTCTCTTGTTATTCCACCACTCTCATCTTCTCTCTCCTCCTCCTCCTCTCTTCTCATTCTCTTGTTATTCCACCACTCTCATCTTCTCTACTCCTCCTCTTCCTCTTCTCATTCTCTTGTTATTCTCATCTTCTCTCTCCTCCCCTTCTCTTGTTATTCCACCACTCTCATCTTCTCCTCCTCCTCCCCTCTTCTTATTCTCTTGTTATTCCACCACTCTCATCACTACTCCTCCTCATCTTCTATTCTCTTGTTATTCCACCACTCTCATCTTCCTCTCCTCCTCTTTCTTCTCATTCTCTTGTTATTCCACCACTCTCATCTTCTCTCCTCCTCTCCCTCTTCTTATTCTCTTGTTATTCCACCACTCTCATCTTCTCTACTCCTCCCCTCTTCTTATTCTCTTGTTATTCCACCTCTCTCATCATCTTCTCTACTCCTCCTCTCCCTCTTCTTATTCTCTTGTTATTCCACCACTCTCATCTTCTCACTATCTCCTCTCTCTTCCTCTTCTTGTTCTCTTGTTATTCCACCACTCTCATCTTCTCTCCTCCTCTTTCCTCTTCTCATTCTCTTGTTATTCCACCACTCTCATCTTCTCACCTCCTCCTCTCCCTCTTCTCATTCTCTTGTTGTTCACCCTCTCATCTTCTCTACTCCTCCTCTTCCTCTTCTCATTCTCTTGTTATTCCACCACTCTCATCTTCTCTACTCCTCCTCTCCTCTTCTTATTCTCTTGTTATTCCACCACTCTCATCTTTCTCTCCTCCTCTTCCTCTTCTTATTCTCTTGTTATTCCACCACTCTCATCTTCTCTCCTCCTCTTCCCTCTTCTTATTCTCTTGTTATTCCACCACTCTCATCTTCTCCTCCTCTTTCCTCTCTATTCTCTTGTTATTCCATCTCATCTTCTCTCCTCCTTCCTCCCCTCTTCTTATTCTCTTGTTATTCCACCACTCTCATCTTCTCTGCTCCTCCTCTTCCTCTTCTTATTCTCTTGTTATTCCACCACTCATCTTCTCTACTCCTCCTCTTCCTCTTCTTATTCTCTTGTTATTCCACCACTCTCATCTTCTCTGCTCCTCCTCTCCCTCTTCTTATTCTCTTGTTATTCCACCATCTCATCTCATCTTCTCTCCTCCCCCTATTATCTTCTTATTCTCTTGTTGTTCCACCACTCTCATCTTCTCTATCCTCTTCTCTTCTCTTCTTATTCTCTTGTTATTCCACCACTCTCATCTTCTCTTCTCTCTCCTCTTCTCTTCCTCTTCTCATTCTCTTGTTATTCCACCACTCTGATCTTCTCTCCTCCTCCTCCTCTTCTCATTCTCTTGTTATTCCACCACTCTCATCTTCTCTATCCTCCTCTCCCTCTTCTTATTCTCTTGTTATTCCACCACTCATCTCTCCTCCTCCCTCTTCTTATTCTCTTGTTATTCCACCACTCTCATCTTCTCTACTCCTCCTCCCCATCTTCTTATTCTCTTGTTATTCCACCACTCTCATCTTCTCTCTCCTGCTCCCCATCTTCTTATTCTCTTGTTATTCCACCACTCTCATCTTCTCTACTCCTCCTCTCCCTCTTCTTATTCTCTTGTTATTCCACCACTCTCATCTTCTCTACTCCTCCTCCCTCTTCTTATTCTCTTGTTATTCCACCACTCTCATCTTCTACTCCTCCTCTCCCTCTTCTTATTCTCTTGTTATTCCACCACTCTCATCTTCTACTCCTCCTCCCCTCTTCTATTCTTGTTATTCCACCACTCTCATCTTCTCTCTCCTCCTCCCCTCTTCTTATTCTCTTGTTATTCCACCACTCTCATCTTCTCTACTCCTCCTCCCCTCTTCTTATTCTCTTGTTATTCCACCACTCTCATCTTCTCTACTCCTCCCCATCTTCTTATTCTCTTGTTATTCCACCACTCTCATCTTCTCTACCCCTCCTCTCCCTCTTCTTATTCTCTTGTTATTTGGTTTTTAATATGAGTGTTATGTAGTAAATAAATAATAATGTTTATTTTGATTTAATATTTTACGTTTTCATAAAAATAAGTGTTTATGTAATAAATAATAATAAATTTATCGTTCTATCTTGTTCGATTCATAAAAAATATAAATATTTATCTGTAAATAATATTCGTCTTTATGGTTATGTTGTTCTTAATATAAGTCATTTATGTAATAAATATGTTTAATGTTTATTGGTTCTTATCGTTTGATTTTCATAGCTCGTCTATCTGTCATCATCTTTAAATATTATG